AAACACTAACAGCAATTATTACCGGGTAGGTATTAATCAGCATGATATTATATAAGTTGCACGGGTTGCGCGGAAAATAGCGCGGACAGATCGGAGTGATGTGTTGATTTGCAGTAAAGCGGAATCAGCACAAACTCGCGTCTCGCAGCCGGCTTTGAGGGATAAAATTATAAGCAATTATATCGGTACGATATATAATGCACCATCGCAGTTCGCAGGCACAACCAGGAACAACACAACACGGAAAATATCTGGGCTGTGTCTAAAAGCCAAACTGTCATTGCGCACTGAAACGAGGAAGCAAGTAAAGCGTAGCAGGGTGGATGATCCATTGTCGTGAACGCGTAGCTTTTTCCCAACCCAAGCGTAGCAAAGGTCCACTATGTTCAGCGATAATAGAGAATGCGGTCACCGAATGTGCATATGCACGGCGGTTTTCGCAGATAAATGCACACAAGCGCTGTGGCCGTATAGAAGAGAGAAAACCAAGTCAGTAACAACCAGCACCGTATTCCTGCACAACTGATTTCAGCCAGCTGGACTGTAACATTGCGGCAGTACAGTACGTGTAGATAATCCCGGCCAGGTGGGGTACATATACCAAAGGGCGTATGATCACCTCTTTCTACATCCTACGTCCAAGTCTCGTTGGTAGTTTCAATTCGTCGTCCAGAAGAGAACCGTGATACCCCGGCCTGTCGTCCACGTCCATACCTGCTATGCGTAGCCTTTACGTTTGTTTTTCTCGCTGTAATGACGTGAGCTAAATATCCGGACAGACTTGTACGCACTGTAATTAAGTGCCACAGTAAGTACTGAATGTACCGTCACAGATAACGAGACCTACCTAAAACAATAGATAACGAGACCTACCTTGCTTTCATCCATTTTGGTACTCTGTACTTCGTTCGTACTTCCATTTCGATACTTGTTAAAGGTTAACTGATGGAAAACCTAAAACAATAGTCTACATCAATACATAGATATTAAATTTTGATATACTGTAAGTTACGTGCGGCAAAATAATAACGTACCGAATCTAAAAGACCTCAACCTGAACAGCATGCTTTACAATAATTGCAAAATCAATAATTTCAGAATACTTACATTATAATTATGTGCCCATTGTGCTGTAAGGTTAAGCGCTGTCTGTTTTTATTATAGTACTACGCAGTGACTACTAACCATAGATCGTATTTGAATAGTAATATAGTCGATACACAGAAACTCCTCTAGACAATCATCTGTCATCTTTATTGTCGTTGTTTTCACTCATATTGGTTTGAAAATGTTCATCGACCGTGCAGGTTGAGAATTAAAAATACATGGGTATTGTGCTCGTTAGTGCGATTCTCTAGAACCATAACAATTCTTATTTTATGCTTATGTATGTTCAGTTATACCGGTTACTGTCTCTGTACGTGTGTGTACGATGATTTAATAGTAAGGCTTTTCCTTCTTCTGACCTCTGCATTTAGTCGGTGAAATATTCTTCCGGTAACTGGCGAAAATGACCTTTAGCCGATTCCCGCACCGCTTCCTCCGTGCACCTCTCCTTTGCTGTTGCTGGTATCCTCCGGGATGTGCTAAACTTACCGGCGTATGTAGTCGAAGTTATGCCGCAGCGAAAGTCTATGCAGTGATCGCTGCCCGCTCAACATTCCCGCAGCTCCTGCCGCCCTCCTGTCAGCACTGTGTTTGTTCCGCCGCATTTAGATTTTCCTTTTTCGCATCGATATCGTGGCGATGGATTAGTTGTGGAAAGATGCGCAGATCCCGAGTGCTTTGAACAGACAAGCTACTGCCTCTCCACACCTTTTCCCGACGCTTCTTATGGTGTGCCCGAATTTTTGTGATACTGTACAGACTGTACTGGGCTGACTGTATGTACTCGCATTACTAGCATTAGCAAAAAGGATAAGAATTTATAACCGCTAAAAATAAAAATTTCTATACGAGTATAGGGCCTAATCTGCTCAACTTTCGTCACGTTTTTCTGTATGTCTGTCAAACGACAACATATTATGTACATGAACATATTATGTACATGAACATATTATGTACATGTACATGGACATATTATGTACATGATCATATTATCAACATGAACTTCATGAATCCACTTCCTGGTTTGTGGGACACATTCGAGAATATTTTATGTATACTTCTATACTATTACTGCGCGTTTGTCCAGTTTTGAGGGGTCTCGCCCACAGTTGTGGCGGTGAGCTTATTCTTTACTTGTTGATGATGTTGCCTACTCGATTGTGAAGAGCATACCATGTTGGAACAGCGGGGTTTTGCGACGGTTTTGTGCCGGTAGTCGCACTGAGCGTACACATGCTTATATGGTTTGTACGAGCACAAAATTATTTAGCTGCGCTTTACGCAGTAATGTATATCTGGTGCATTGAAAAGAAAGGTTCATGTCTTAAAATTGTAATTAGGCGCCCGATTTCAATCCTGACTTTCGCCGATCCGATTTTGCGGCACACGTACCGCAAAAATGTACTGTCGTTATGCAGGCTCTACGACGGTTTATGCTAACCCTGTAGTCGCTTTGGCTCATTCGGCTCCAGGATTCCGACGTTCAATACGCCCACTGTCGCCCAACGGAACACTAAAATAATATATGTAAATACGTATCTCGCTTTCTGAACTGTTTCGCAGTGGTCAGATGCCGGTGGAAATGACCAACCGGCCATGCGACAATCTTCACGTAAAATACGGCATATTGCTGCCTATACAATACTGCCAGACGCGTATTCGCAAAATGAGTTCGCGTTGCACTGCTCTTAACGCTTCTCAACACTGGTCGTGTCCTGTCCACTCCCCTTTTTCTTTTTCCTTCTTTCGATCTCTGTATCCAGTCGGTAACCGGCGAAAGTGACCTTTAGTCACCTTCCACACCGCTTCTTCCGTGCACCGTTCCTTGGGCTGCTGATGGTATGCTCCGAGATGTGCTAAAATTTCTGGCGTAGGTGGTCAACGGCGTAACGACATTGTTGTGATCGATTAGTTGTATAAAGAAGCGCTAACTGAGAGCTGAGAATAAACAAGGCTGCTGTTGCCTACAGCTAGGGCCTAACCCCGCTTTTTGCCGACAGTTCTTATAGTTTGCCGGAATTTTGGGGATAATGTTAAAAGGACCAAAATGAAAGGAGCATTCAATACTGCTAAACAAGTCTAAAGTATAGGCCTATTTCATTCGATTTTCGTCACATTTCTTTTTCATGTGTGTCAAAACAACAAAATATGCATATGAACTTTGACGACCATGAAACAATTTCCTGTTTTCAGGGATACATTTCAGGATATCTAGAGCATCGCTAAGTATATTTTATTATGTATACACCATTACTACGCGTTTATCGGATACTGTAGGATCTCGCCAGCAGCTCGTGGCGGTGAGCGTATTCCTTACTTTGTCGATCGTGATGCCAATCAGCCCCACATTCCCGGTGTGCGGCAGCTGGCGATGAGACCCATTTCGTGTAAGCCGAACCTTCCATTTATTTCAGAACAGTGCAAATAACAGACAAGAAAAACGTCGAATTAAATGCAACCTCGATTGTGTCTACGTTCAGTAACCCATCACCTTTTATAGTGAAATACGAGGACCGGCGTCGGTATGCCGGTGACACGACTGCTGCAAAGTCTACGAGTGCCGGGACTAATAAGGAAACAATTTCCGCTAATGCAAACTAATTTAACACATTTATACAAGTAATCTTGCTCATACTGCAACAGCAACACCAATCAGCGTTTCACTTGTTTCATGTTCTTCACAGTGCACCATGTCCTCAATAACAACGGCAAAGTAAACAACGCATAGCAGACATACGCAAAGTAAACAACGCCTCCAAAGTTACATTTAACGATGTTAAATGACGTTAATGTTAGCTGGAGGTATGTACTCCCGCTCTTTTCTCTTCACCACGTGTAGTGAGTTACGTGTTTGGGTGGTGGCGCTGCGCATCGTCGGAGCCAATTAGATCAAAGCGGCCGCCATCACGCGCACGGCCGCTGTTGCACCCGGCACTGTTCCAGTGCCCGTTCTTGGTTTTGCATTCTCACTGTTGTTGGTTTAGCATTTCTGTTCTCCATTTCTGCTGTGTGCGCGCGAGTGATTTTGTTTTTATAAGTTGCACTTTTTCTGTTTTTTCCCATTATCCGCTCTTGTTACTGAGCTCACTGGCTATGCCACCAAGGCGATTAGGACGCGGAAGACCGTCAGGACGCGGGAAACCGACGGGATCTTCTACGAGCCGCGGGCGTAAGCGAAGGGCCAGTGCTTCTCCTTTGCCAGCCCGGCTTCGTTCCCAGGTTACAGTACCGCCGTCAACAACCTTTCCACCCAGCACGAATGACCTTCTGAAGACTTTCACCGATCAAATGCTAGCTCTGAATGAAAAGATCACATCGGTGGAAAAGAACGCACCGCAAGGAACCAGACCTGGGCAGTTATGGAAATTTGGCCTATAGTTAGAGTTACGAGTTCAGTGTAGCGCGCGAGTTACGTTACGAGTTACGTTATTCAAACAAACTAGAGTTATGAGTTATAACGCGAGTTACGTTACAATAAAAAATTCATACGTCTTTATTAATCATTTTCAAGTAATCTCTTTAGAGTACCGGTATTACTATTACCAGATTTAAAACACAGATCGTTATTAACTTTGCAAAATAGCTGATTCTCAAAATTCTCATCCGTACAACTAGCACGCCTGGGACTTAACAATGCGCCCGCAACGCTAAAGAGACGCTCAACTAGAGCAGTACTAGCGGGCGCCGCTAACATTCGCCTAGAAAGCCTATGCAATCGGGGAAAGTCATTTTTCTTGTCTTGCCAAAATCGCAGGACACTCTCGCATTCGCTAACGTCTGCCTGATAGCTGCTGAATTCCTTTTCAACTGAAATCGCTTCCTGATCTGCTGACACTGCATCTCCTTCACCATCATCCATGAAGTCCAGGAAATTAGACATCTTGACGGTTTTATTGACGCGGCACTTTCGACTACGCTGTCAAAGCCATCTACTTCATTCATTAAAAGTAGGATTTCTTTTTTTACAGTCGCTTCCTTCTGTTTGTCCTTCGAATATTTACACCACTTCAACTTTGCTCGTGGATCCAAAATGTGGCAACGATGTACAGCGTATCTGATTCATACTTCGCAAAACGGGTGTTCAGTTCGTCCAACGTGTCTCTGGCAAAACTTTGCAATACATCGAATTCAGTCGATGTTCCTGCTGCTAGATATTTCTGAAACAAACAACGATATTCTACATTCCAAAACTTGTTTGCATTCGTACACAAAATATACCGGTTTAGTGTATCAACTCATTCAGCTGTATCTGTATAGTCAGTATATTGTAACAGTGGCCTATCTGGCTACTGTTCTAGTGGGGTGGCGATCAGCCTTTACCACGATTAAACGGCTGTTGGTGTGAAAGGTGGCACGGCCGGCAACGATGCTGGCCGAGGACGCTCTTACTGATGTACACAATTACACAGGTGGCTCCGATTGGGATGACGCTAGTTCATCCCAAGCGGTCAAACGCAACAACGTAACTCAAGGCATGTTTAATGACAAGGGAATCAAGAACACAGCAAGGTTGTAAGCAAGGGTTTCAACAAGAGGAACAATCAAGTAGATGCAAGCTGTAACAAGCTGAGCACAAGACTGAATTCTAGAAATTCATGAGAAAGGAAACTAGCCGGTAAAATGGACAAATTCATAACGCGATGGAATGATTCATCATAACTAGGCGGTCTTATCGTTCGTACAAATACTATCGCTACAATATATATGCCGTACCATGCACAAGTCATGTCCGGCAAATAACGATTTTATTGTACAGTAATAAATTACGCAATACTCCTACTAATCGTAAATACAGTATTCTAACACCACGTAGGTATTAGTAACGTATTAATATTTCTTATAATATGCATATATTGCAAGTTTATGGCTCACCTCAAGCATAATCCGCAGACGGTAGCTTATCGGAATAACAGAAGCGATAGTTGCAACACCTTCTTCTTGTAACGTCAGGAAAGCTTCCTCGAAAGGTTCAGTAAGCTCAACAAATTCTTTCAAAATGCTGTGACTACGGACGTCTAGCTTAAGGTCCAGTGGCAGAGACGTAGTGTTCCAATCAAACTTAACTGCTACCGATGCCATCTTGTGATTTGTATTCCACCGCGTCCGACATCGCTCCCGAAATGATCTCCCACCAAATTCCGACTGAACGAGCTCATGGTTTTGATTGGACTTGTTGATCTTGCTAATAATCGCTGCTGATTTCTCGACAGAACGATGAAGTGCCCTGCATTTCTCTGCAGGTTTTTTCAGCACCAACTGCAGCGTATGCGCAGCACAGGTCACCTGCAAATATTGAATGCAGTCAATGCACCGATTCACAAACCCTTTTGCTATATGCCTGCCTGTGTAGTAATAAATAATAATATATAAATTATACAACTTGAACTCGCTTTTTCGTAAAATTTCGATGTACACTGTACAGCACCTATACAAATATTAATGCAGAAAATTGTTTTTTTGCGAAAACCTTTGATGATCTCTTAATGCATGATGCAGCTGCTGCATTAACTGTTTCGTAGTTATAGCCATAATCCGCGCCGCAGTAAGAATGTTGGCTTACAAGAACATTTCGCTTATCCAAGGAGCAAAATTTGCGCAGACCAGAGCTGAGCTCTTCCGCAATTTCTTCTCCACCGTCAAGATCATCAAAGTCCAGCTGACTTCCAAAGAAATCGAGATCAAAATCATCTAAACACGAGTAAAGATAAAACAAGCAACACCACTGGCACAGCGGAAATAAATAAAATCTGCAGACACGTTCTATGTAGTATGCAGCAGTATGTAGTATGTCGTACTACTATGCACTATGTAATAATTATGTACTCTGTAGATTGTAGTGTACTCTACAGCTTGTTGTTATGTGGCCCGTTCTATGAAGTACAAGCTTGTCCGGTAATTTCTTACGAATCAATACAGCGAAATACACAAATTTACGACGTAGTGTAGTGGCAATTGCCATAGGACAAACTCAACGCTAAATATATGCTGTTTGTACCTTTACGTAGGAAATTACCGGACAAGCTTGTACATAAATGAACTGTAAGCTATAATATTGAAAAATACATGTACAGTATGCGAAAAAATTTTACCGAAAGTAAATCGTCCTTGGCTTTCATCAGTACATCCTGGCATCCACTGCTCAAATGCCTTGAGTATATTAGGTCCATTATCAACGCCGATAAAACCGAGCTTGTCTCTGACGTCGTATTCTGCTATTACTTCTACAGCCAAAACGGAAATATCTTCCGCTTTATGAGTGCCACTAAATCGGGGGCATGCAAGCATGTAACGGCGGAGATTTCCTTGGCGGTCTAAAAAGTGTACGGTCATCCCGAGATATCCGCGCTTGGAGCGGCTGCTCCAAATATCGATGCACAGCGCAACGGACTTCTCTTCGGTTTCTTGCAAGAGTTGTTTCAGATTTTCTTTGGCGGCGCTTGTCATCTCTTGATGCCTTCGACTAATAGTACGTCTTGATGGCCACTAAAAATGAACCAAATATACACGTAATTTGAAGACTGTATAGTATACATGTACAGCTATATTCGATTAGAAATTCAGAAACATACAGCAGGCAAATTACTTTCTACAACATAAAGTAAAAATAAAGGTTTGCACTCACCGTCAGTTTTGGGTCGATATCTTTCACCAGATCGTCAAACGTACGGTCTTCAAGAATACTTAAGGGACACGCCGTTTTTGCATAAACTTTAGCGACATTCTCCACCAGTCGTTTCTGCGTCGGATCGCTGGAGCTGTATGGCCGTCCAGTGCGGACCCCAAAGCTTTCCAGCTTGGCTTGTTGTTTTGAAGAACTTTCTTTTGCGCTCGGTACAGTAAGAAAGGAAACAACTTCCTGCGAATCGAAAGACACTTAATCGCATGCAGTATATCTCGAACTGGATTAAAAACTCAGTATTTACTATTTAAGGAATAGGGACTTCGTTGTGAGCGCTTCACATTTTATTCGGTAAAAGCGAAACTTACCTGCAGTTTCTCGTGATTTCGCCTCACATGGACAGCAAAATTTGCATAACCGTTGACTGCATTAACACGCTTTCCCGTTTTGCAACTGGTGGAGACACAGAGACGACATATTCCCGTGTGATTTCGCTGAGGAACACCAGTTTTGCTTTTTCCACTGACAGAAGATCGTTCTGTGATAAACTCTCTGAAGTAATCCGCATCAGTTCTCTTCGCGCTGCTCTGCACAGGTGCAGATGCCGTGGACGAACCAGCATTCAGAGTCGACATTGTCGAACTGACATCCGTGCGTAAATCAATTACCAAAAACTACAGCTTTTAAGCGAAAAGGCCTGGAGCGCCTTTCAAACGACACAGGATAATTGCGAAATACAGGATAATTGCGACACAGGATAATTGCAGCTGACAATGCATTTGTCATGATGTGTGTAATTCAGTATAACTGCAGTCAGTGCGCTGATATCAGTAGCCGAAAAAAACCATGTGGCCAGTGCCTGTGGCGGTCGTGGTGTACTACATCAGCTGGAGCTGTTTTGTATGCGCATGGTTGTAGAAGTATCGGAAGTGAGTGTACGCCAAGTCGGAAATGATTTCAATATTTTCTATATTTGTAAATTAATTATTTTATTAGTAACTTGAAACCACCGAGTTACGCTACAGTTACGTTGCGTTAACTTATTTTCGAGTTACGTTAGAGTTAAGTTTTCTTCCTAGCGAGTTACGCTTCAGAGTTACGTTAAAACTCGATAACTCCAAAATAACTCGCGTTAAGTTATGAGTTAAGTTATAACTGCCCAGGTCTGCAAGGAACCCTCACAGTGAACGCTCGGCCTAGCCGATCACTTTCGCCATCGTCGAATCGCCACGTCACAGGACACGATAAGCAACCTATCGCTCAGATTACTATAGAGAACACGCCTGAGCCGAAAACCATATTTCAACGACTGGGCCCTGTTAATCCGTCTGCGTACCGAGACTTGCGAGCAGTCAACTCGAAGCTGCGCGAGGCACTGCTGGATCATTCGCCGTTTGCGGACTTTGCGGACCTGCTACCACAAAACAGAGTGCCTTTCAAGCGGCCTCAGACCGGCACCAAGATGACTCACGATCCCACAACGGGCGAAGCGGTCTTTCTACCTTCGACAAAGAAAGAACAGGTGACCAACTATTTCAAGTGGTCCCGGGCATTTTCAGTATTCGTCGAATACTGAACGCTGTGTCACCCGGAATTCGTGATCCCGCTGATGAAGTATTTGGACCTCATCGGGCTGCTATCTGATCCTGACCGCAGATACAAATTCAAACACGTTATGGAGTATGACATGCAGTTCAGAAACTATGCCGCTAACAATCCGTACGATACGGACATCTGGACTAAGCGACATGAAGAATCGTTCCAGGAGTGCATTGCGAACCCGAAAAGAGTGGACTTGCGCACAGCTAGCACTAGCGTCATGCCAAACGCACGGCACAGCACGCTGCAGTGCGGACGCTGCAAGGAGTTCGGTCACATCCAGCGAGACTGCAAACAGCCCTTTCGTGGGCGCCCCCCTGCAGAGGGGGAAGTCTGCAATAACTACAACAGAGAAAACTGCAACACTCCGTGCCGTTTCGGCCGTCGCCAAGAATGTCGTGAATGCCGATCCAAAGAACACGGCGAATACGCTTGTCCACGCCGCCCCGTTAAGAACGAACGTCGCTGAGCAGAAGTCGCCGTTGCGTCCGGATGTTTTCCAGAGACATCTTACAACACATCCGGATCGGCCGTTCGTTGATACGCTGATCTCTGCGCTGACAAACGGTGCGGATTTAGGTTACCGAGGACCGGAATTTTCAAGATTTACTAAGAACTCTCGCTCCGCAGCTGAAAATCCTGTTGCAATTGCGTCATCCATTCAGAGAAGCCTAGAGTGTGGCCATGCTCTTGGACCGTTTGACCGACTGCCGCTGCCTAATTTTGTGTGCAACGCTCTTGGTACAAGGCCAAAGTCCAGCGGCGGTTTTCGCACTATCATGGACCTTTCCCAGCCAACCGGTACATCGGTAAATGACTTCATACCACAAGATGACCCTCCTCTGAAATTTTGTTCAGTTGATGACGCGGCAAAGCTACTTACGAAATGTGGTCCGGGTGCAGTCATGGCTAAATTGGACGTTGAGAACGCCTTCCGGCTGATTCCTGTTCGACGTTCCCAGTGGCACCTGCTCGGATATATGTTTAAAGGTAAATACTACCACGACATAGTATTGCCTTTCAAATGCCGATCTGCACCGCGTCTGTTCTGCATGTGTTCAGATGCAATACAGTAAATTTTCATTAACGCTTCGGGACATACTTTTGTTTTGCAGTACATTGACGATTTTCTTATCATCGCGCCGGCTGGTAACAGGTGCGCAGAGTTAGTCCAGTTGTTCATGGATCTATGCTGCGAATTGGGTGTTCCACTCGCAGCTAGAGGCTAGAGGGCCCGGGAACGCGCATAGTTTTCCTCGACATATTGCTAGACTCGGAAGCGCAGACGTTGTCGTTACCTGAAGGGAAGCTAGAGTCGCTTACTCAGCTGCTCCGGTCCTGGTCAACAAAAACGTCATGTTCACTGGTAGAGCTGCAAAGTCTCGTAGGATCACTGCAGTTCGCAACCAAATGAGTTCCTGCCGGACGGCTGTTCCTCCGTCGACTGATTCACAAGTTGACCGGCTTACCTTCCCACAGACCCCGATTCATTGCGTCGATACAGTTAGACGAAGACTTTCAACTCGATATTTCTTGGTGGCTACAGTTTCTGCCAAAGTGGAATGGCACGTCGTCGTTCCTTGAACCTGATTGGAGCAAACCGGATACTTTGCACCTCTATACAGACGCCGCGGGCTCCTTGGGTGTTGGTGGATTTTACTGCGGCCGCTCGTTTTCCGCTCGCTGGCCCGATTGGATAGCAAGATTATCGCCTTGCATTGAGTACCTCGAAATGCTAGGTGTCCTGTTTGCACTGGAACTTTGGCATCAGTCCTTCCACAGAAAAAAGGTCATGTTCCACTGCGATAATCTGGGTGTCTGTGAGGCATGGGAAAAGCTCGGATCAGTAAACCGCGCCATATTAAACCTGATGCGTCGAATGATTATGATTGCGGCGGAAGGGAACTTTAACATTACTATAAAGCATATTGCCGGATGTGACAATAGTGTAGCTGATGCACTATCGCGATTTCAGGTCGACCGGTTCCGCCAACTGACCCCACTGCCAACCAGCATCCCGACAAGCTTCCCGACATGTGGAGCGATCTGGAGAGCAGCTACGTCGCATCGATGAGTTAGATGCCGTTGCGAGAACGCTCCAGCTTAACCACATAGCCCGATCCACACGCAGCACGTATTCTGCTGGGTGGAATCAGTTTGCCACGTACTGCCGCACGCATGGTGAAACCAGCTTGCCGGCATCAAAGGAAACCCTGCTGCGTTTTGTTGCACATCTTAATCAGCGTAAAGTTGCACCGTCCACAGCAAAGGTGTATTTAGCTGCCATTGCAAAACTGCATGCCGAAAACAACATGGTTTCGCCGGTTGGTTCCGATGCTGTCACACGCGCAATTGACGGTTATCAGAGGCTATCCGGGCATCTGCGCGATCACCGTTTGCCGATAACTCTGCCCGTCATGCGCTACATCAAGGACGAATTGTCAAAGTCCAACCTTCCCTCTGCTGATCGGACAATGTTCTGGGCCGCGTTTACCACGGCTTTCAGTGGACTTCTGCGGGTCAGCGAATACACCTCCGCGGAGCCCGCTCAGTTTTCTGCAGAACGAACGCTTCTTCTAAAAGACGTTACGGTAAATGCGGATTCTGCTGTTCTCCTGCTGAAAACCACGAAGACCGACCAATTCGGATACGGTTACCGGCTGTCACTGCGCAAGACAGGGCGGTCGGTGTGTCCCGTAAACTCCTTATTCGCGTACATAGCGATAAGGTCGTCCAGGGCAAACAAACACGAACCGCTGTTTATCCTGTCGAGCGGAGCCTACCTTACGCGATCCGATGTCGATTACACCCTGAAACAACTTTTGCGTGCGCTGCCGGACAACAGCAAATACAGTACGCACAGCTCCCGAATAGGAGGCACGACCGCTGCTGCCCTGGCTGGACGCGATGATAGCTACATCCAGCGCACTGGACGATGGAAAACTGACTGCTTTACCAAGTACATCCGTGCTACTGTACCAGGGATGGGATTAATCCGTACGATTGATTGTTTGGGGTTTTGTTTGGGGCCTTCGGTTGCGCAGGGATCTGGTCACTCTCTTCCGCCGACCTTCGGTCGGCCGGCTTCTCGCTGACCCACGGTCGCACACAGCCGATCACCGAGAGTATCAGCTTCCCAGCACCCGGGGTTCCATCGCCCACATTGGACGCCGGAAGCGGTAACATTAACTGATCATTTCAACCAAATTTTCCATCCCAGTTCGCCAAAAATTAAATTCCTTGAGACTTGAATCTTGAACACATGGGTATGTACTCTGTATTATATGAAAAATACGCTCTTTAAGGCTTACAGCGCGCTGAGGCCAGTTTCACTAATTTGTGTATTCGATAACGAATAGCCAAACAAAACAAATACGCAAGCACTTTTCTTCACAAATAAAATTTAAACGTTAAAAAAACAACCAGAATCAGTTTCTTATGCTTAGTTAAGCAAAGTAATCAACATTACCTGGCTGGTCTGGCAGCCCGGAAGGCCTAAGTTAGCGGAAATCATCCGGCGTGAATTATGGTTGGTAAGCCACACCGCCAAAGTGGCGGTAGTGTTCAATAGCGATAAGGTCGCAGACTCCATTCAAAACCGTCAGCGCCAAAGAATTAAAGCTATTAACATCCAACGACTGCAGGTCAGCGTAGTTGCTATACGAAGCAAGAGGCGTGGGTTCCGTATAGAGGTGTTGGAACCTGCAACGGCATACCAGGGCGACTGTACATTTACACTTGGCTTACAATCGGACATTGTTATGTAATACCAAACGAACGAAACCGTGCCTAGGAAAGCAATGCTGCATTTTGACTAATACTGGGAAGTTGGATGGCTCTTACAGATTGATCACACATCGAAACAGCAGCAGGTGACTGTAGCTCTGCCCTCCTCCGTTGTAGCAGCAGTTTAAGCTGCCGTCGATCGCTGCTCCCACCCTCCGCCGTGTCTCATCACTGACCGTAGAACATCCTTCGCTCAGATCCGTAATTAAACTGCGAAAGTTGACCTTCGGGTCCGCATAGCAGTCCAGATCGGCGCGGGCAATGGTCACGGGCAGGAGAGGGCCAGGACTAACAAACCGACTACCCTCTCCACCACCAATCACGTCATAATCAGCTACGTTGCGAATCCTGTAGTTGTCCAGGCGCAGCCACCGACAGGGCTGACTGCTCCACAGCAGCGATATATTGCACTTATACACTCTGAGGCAGCATTCCCAATGCAGACGTCGAGGAATTTCCGCCCAGTTGCCGCTCTGCCAGTACTCGGGAAGTTCTTCTTCGTTCCGATGCCATAACCACGGATACAAAGCGTTCTCCGTTTCCACTTCGCAGTCTTTCAAGCATAACAGCAACAAGAATGCACGCTTGTTTTCATGATGTCGTTTAGTTGACGAATTTGATAATGGTTGGGAATGAAGTGACGGAGTGTGAGGATCTTGTTGCGACTGGTGAGAGTCGCTTGTAGCATAGTCGGCAGTTTCGCTTCCGCAGCCTGGATCAGACGGAAATCGTAAGGGATGGAACCGCCTTTTTGAAGTCGACAGTTGATCTCCACGTGACAATGAGGCACGCTTTGTGATATGATAGTGTCCCATGATGAACGCACTCTATAAACCAGGACATAATCAATACAACCTTTACCGTGCCTACAAAACTCCGGTTGCAAGAGGCCCCCAAAATTACAAGCTCCGAAGTTTAAACGTACAGATAGACCTTGTATAAATAGTGTTTAATGAGTACGGATATCGAAATTACATGCGGTACATAAGTCACAGGATCGGCCCATCGGGAGAGGTCAACCGCCCGGCGTAGTATGTAAACGAGCACATAAACACATATCTGGCCATCGTTTTCAAACCGTTCCCATTTTCCCAAACCCGCTTTTTACTGCTAGTGATCCCCTTAATGCATGAATGCGATAAAGCCTGGTGTCGTATCAAAAGCCTAATTTTCAGGTTGATACAGTATATGAAATTTTGCTATTGTTAGCATGCGAGGTCCCTCCCCAAAAAATTTCGAAATCACAAATCGGCATTTTCTTCAAGCATTTTGTCAAGCTATAGTGCCCTAGTAATGCGGTACTGCCAACCAAAATAGCAGAATACTTAATTCCTAATGATATCTGTACATTCAAAATGTAAAATAAGCATTGCTTAAAATTTAAAGATACCAGTAACAGTGTTGCACTACTATTCTAACCTTCG